AAAGGCATCTACTCAGCGATTAATATCTTTGGGCCCATTCGTTGTCTTCCTGAAGCGTCAGTCACTTGACCAACTTGACAAACTTCTATGATGAAATGGCTGGTTTGATGGATGAGGGAAGAGCAGTGGACGTTGTCTGCTCTGACCTCAATAAGGCCTTTGACACTGTCTTCCATAAGATCCTTGTACAGAAGCCAGTGGAAGCGTGGGCTGGGTGAGGAAACAGCAAAGCGGACTGAAAACTGTCTGAATGGCCAGGCCCAGAGGGTGGTGATCAGTGGCATAAAATCTAGCTGGAGGCTAGTAACTAGTGGTAAGTGGCCAGTAACTACCTCAGGGGTAAATACTGGGTCAGATCCCGTTTAGCATCTTCATTAATGATCTGGATGATAAGACAGAGTGTACCCTCAGAAAGTTTGCTGGTGACACAAAACTGTGAGGAATGGCTGATACACCAGAGAGTTGTGCTGCCATCCAGGAGGACCTTGACAAGCTGGAGAAATGGGCTGGCAGCAACCTTGTGAAGTTCAACAAGGAGAAGTGCGAAGTCCTGCACCTGGGAAGGAATAACCCCAGGCACCAGTAAATGCTGGGGACCACCCAGCTGGAAAGCAGCTTGGCAGAAAAGGACCTGGATTCTTGTTGGACACCAAATTGAACACAAACCAGCAACATGCCCTTGCAGCAAAGGATGCTAACAGTATCCTGGACTGCCTTGGGATGGGTGTTGCCAGCTGGTGAAGGGAGGTGATCCTTCCTCTCTACTCAGCATTGCTTGGGCCACACCTGGAGTGCTCTCTCCAATTCTGGGCTCCTCCGTACAAGAGAGATGGGGACATATTGGAGAGAGTTAAGGGAAGGGTCACAAAGATGATTAAGGGACTGCAGCATCTATTCTGTGAGGAAAGGCTGAAATTGCTGGGACTTTTCAGCTTGGAGAAAAGAAGGCTCAGGGGGAACCTTGTTAATGTGTATAAATACTTGAAGGGAGGTTGCAAAGAAGATAGAGCAAGGATCTTCTCCGTAGTGTCCAGCAACAGGACCAGAGGCAATGGGCACAAACTAAAACACAGGAGGGTCTCTCTGAACATCAGGAAACACTTTTTTACTGTAAGGGTGACTGAGCACTGGCCCAGCTGCCCAGAGAAGCTGTGGAGTCTCCATCCTCGGAGACAGTCAAAAGCCATCTGCACATGGTCCTGCCCTGTTGGCACAGGGAGCACTGCTTGAGCAGGTGGGTTGGACCAGATGACCTCTGGAGGTCCCTTCCAACCTCGCCCATTCTGTTAAAGGGAATAAAGCAGTATGCTTGAGAAGGAACATAGGAAGGACCCATGTCCTGGTTTCAGCTAGGATAGAGTTAATTTTCTTTCTAGTAGAGGCTGTGTTTTGGATTCGGTATGAGAAAAATGTTGAGGAATGCTGATAACACATATTGTTTTACTTGTTGCTAGGTGATACTTACACTAGTCAGGGACTTTTTCAGCTTCCCGTGGAAGCTAATATGGAGCATAGGCAGGACAAGCTGGACAAAAGTAATATTCCGTACCATGGACATCATGCTCAGTATATGGGGCATGGCTCCATACCATAGACATCATGTTCAGTACATTTGGCTCCCAAGAGCCCAGAAAGACTTCTCGCAGCTCTGCCTCCTCCATCCATCCGTGCCTAAGGATGGCTGGAGTCCAGGAGGCAAGATGAAGTTGCCTCTCCCCCAGCCAGGGGAACACTAGCCTTTCCCTGGGCCTTGCCAGAGCAGGCGATGCTCAGCAGGTTGCTGCTGACATCATCCAGCCAGTGGTTGCCACAGTAACCACACTCACGGATGAAGGATACCAGGTTCCTGGGGTAACGGATCGGCTGCCACCCGCCTGAGTGTTGTCTCTATTGCACGGCAGGAAAAGGATGATGCGGTTTTCTGAAGGTGAGAAAATAAATACCCTTCCCTACACCTCACCAAGCCAGGCTTCCCATCCACTCCAGCCTCCCGTGCGCTGCCGCAGCTCCGCTCTCCACAGCCCTGTGCTCCCTGGCAACTGCACTGCTTCCTTGAACACTCAACCCAAGAAGAAAAACTGCTTTAGACAAGAAGAAATCAGCCTACCCAGGCAGGAGCCATCACTTCTTTCAGTTTCAACAGCAGACGTGCTCTGCAGTCCCACCAGACCCACCCCAGAGGGAACCAAGGCCTGACCCCCACGAGGATCAGAGACCCCTTAGTGTCAGGGGTTGAACCGATGTCTTTGGGCTTGGATGGAGAACTCACTGTCTGTCAGGGACCCTTCCAGTCTAGTTTTCTAGTAAGACCTGCTTGTGCTCACCTTCATTATGTGCAGGAGTGGTAGCAGCAGAGGGAAGCCACACAAAACCTGGCAGACCTGATGGACCCCTGTAGTGGTGTTATCATCCCCATTCAAAGCAAGAGCAGCCCCGTGGCTAAAGGCCACACCTATCCCTCTGCTTCCACTACAGGGGAGAAGAAGCATTTACAGGACACAGGTCACCCCTGCCTGGTGCCCTCAGCTACATGAGGAGCCAAGGAAAGGCCAGGTAAAGCTTATTTCCTTTCTGCTCCAAGTCCACCTCTGCTTCATAGCAAAGCCCTCAGGGAGAGATAAAAAAGAACTTACGCTGTCATACGAGACAGCCATCAACCATCGCCTCTGCTGAGGCAGCAGCCAAGTGAAAAAAACTTATTCTGCAGGCCCACCATTGGGGATCCAAAGGACAAACTCCAAAGTCTCTTTGGACAGGGCCCAAACACAGGCTGTGAGGCTCTGATGAGCTACTGGATTCCCTTCTGTTTCCCAGCATGCAGGCCTGGTAGATCACAGCCTCCAACCTCCCATCTGTCGGCTGGGAGAGCTAGAAAGGACAGAGCAAACAAGGCAGAGAGCGCTAGAAGCATTCACCCTCAAAGCACCCTAGAAAAAAAGGGGGGCATCAACCAGTGATGCTCCTGCTGTGCCCTGTCTCCTCTGTACTCAGCCTCTGCAATTTGCAGCTGCAATTCAAGCATTCCCAGCTGTGGCCCCAAGTCACAGCAACAGCGCTCTGAGTTTCAGCCTGACACGAAAACAGAGAGCTCTGAAAAATAAATGAAGGTCTGGGTATCTCTAGTTAGGCAGACAAGAGTTGGCAGACACATTAAGTCTTGGTCTTGCCTCTGCTTGATGATGCAAGTGTTGGTCAGTCTCTCATTAAGGGAGTACCAGTCCTCTGGTTGTCTAATTGGAGATGGGAAAGACAAAAGGGAAAGAGAGACACATACAAAAGGGACCGATTAAGATGCCAGGCAGTCTTTAGAGAACTCTTTTTATGTTCTTTTGTTTTGGAGGGCTGTTTTCTAAGTTATTTTGGAAGGGGGCGGGGGAAGACAGTCAGCACCTGGAATTATCCCAGGGCCAGTAAGTTGCATCTAGTTCTGCCGCATGAGCTGACACAGCACTAACTCACACCCAGGCTGGTTATTCAGCTGAACAGCTGATCTCTCAGGTGGGAGATGCAGTGCTTGGTTACCACCACCGCTATAGACAGGGGTCTGACAGACAAAGTATGAGGAGGGGAGGCAAAGCACATTCAAAAGATTTCAAACACTCTTCTTACCCAATCTGTTTTCTCCCTCCTGCCCCGGACCACAGCCAAACTCACGGAGAGGACACAGGGCACAGCAAGCTACAGTCCAGTGAAGGTCACCTCCAGGGGTACGGTGACACCCACCTCCCCTTCACTCAAAGCTGAGCATAGTCAAGAAGGGTCACAGCAAAACCTTATCTGGGCAGTTTTCAGCCCTCTGCAAGCTGTGGGTGACAGCTTGTGGGTGACATGTGGGTGACATGAGATGGCACCTCACCCCTACCCTAGCAGAGCTGGACACTGCGGCGCAGGGCCACACAGATCATTGGAGTCTACCTGATTAGCAGCAGGCAGGCCTCAGGTACAGCACAAGAAGTCACCACTCCCCAGCAAGGAATCACCCGTGCTGTGAAGCTGAAAGGCAGCTGGCAAAGATTGCATCTCTCACTGCTCCAATTCACCTGGCTGGACCCTGCCCCTCACGCCATAACCCCACCAGCCACCTCCACCCTCAACTCCAGTTCTGAGACCCCAGTAAAGAGAGAGCAGCAACCAGCAGCACACACTGTCCACAAAGCATTGTCCACCCCTCTCTTGTCTACCCAGCAGCACCCCCTTGAGTGAGAAAAGGTCCTGCCATGTCCTCATCTAAAGATACCCAGGCCATTCTCATCTTGATGGGACCACAGGCAAAAAAAGAGGAGGCCTAGTTTCCAGCCTACGCTCACACTTTATTATATACAGACACATGGTGAGTGTAAGAACATCAACATGGGACGTGGACAGTAAGGGAGGCCCAAAGGCACTACCTCCTGTCCCCTTGGTGCAACCAGTCAGCATAGTTTATACAAATAATACAGTATCTGAACAATAAATAAGTTCAAAGGTCCTGCCATGTCCTCATCTAAAGATACCCAGGCCATTCTCATCTTGATGGGACCACAGGCAAAAAAAGAGGAGGCCTAGTTTCCAGCCTACGCTCACACTTTATTATATACAGACACATGGTGAGTGTAAGAACATCAACATGGGACGTGGACAGTAAGGGAGGCCCAAAGGCACTACCTCCTGTCCCCTTGGTGCAACCAGTCAGCATAGTTTATACAAATAATACAGTATCTGAACAATAAATAAGTTCAATAAATAAGATCAAGAAATTAAAAAAAAAACAAAACAACCAAACAAAACAAAAACGTAGAAAGACAAAGCAGCAAGGAATGATTTTGAGGGCTGCGACACATTCACAGCAGTGACAACACCACCACCATCTCACCTGCACACCAGCAGCTGGAGCACAGACCCCCATCAGCCCTTTTCTCTCACCGCACTATGGCAAAATCCACTGAGGAGGGGGAAGTGGGGAGAGTTGTACAGTTCACTACTGCTGTGCTGTCGTGGTCTGGGAGCCCTCTCTCCTTCATAAATCCACTGAGGAGGGGGAAGTGGGGAGAGTTGTACAGTTCACTACTGCTGTGCTGCCGTGGTCTGGGAGCCCTCCTTCACGAGACCCTTCGGAAAGGGTGCCTGAAAACAAGGTACAACCACAGACCCACTGTGTGCACTCACAGCTTGTCTGTTTGGCACAAAAGAAAAAAAAACCCTCAAACCAGTCTCTTCCCTTTCTATGGTCCTTCAGATGGACACTGGCACAGTTATTAACTGAGTCGGGGCAGGGGGTGGTGGGGGAAACATCTCTAAGGAACAGGGGAGAGAAGACATCAGGCGATGCTCCCGTTCACTCACGGGAGGCAACGATGCTCTCATTCATCGCTCCAGAGCTCTGGCACGCTCCTTCCACACGCCCTGGCACCGATGGAGACTGGGTGGGTGACAACGCCAGCCTCGTCCCCTGACAAGGAGGGGTTTACCACAAAGACTGCAGGGATGCAGCTCAGAATTCTAGAGTTACGAGTGAAGGGACAGCAGTAAAAGGCCGCCACTGGTTATATAAGAGAAAAATAATAAGACAGCCAGTCCCTAACCCCTGCAGGGGGAGAGGCCACATGGACACACTGATTTGAACCCCCTGTCAGCCTCAAGGCCTCCAGCTCTCTCCCAGAGATGCTGGCAGCTGGCATTTGAGGGAGAGAAGGACTCCGTCCATCATGGATAGCGCTCAGCAGAAAGGAGACAACTTGAATCCTGCTCCCTCCTGCCAACCCCCCCACCCCATTTTGCCCCTGAAGAAGGGCGTTGGAATGTGAAGAAACCAGGAATTGAAGGAATAGGGCAGTGAGAGAGAAATGGGAACAGATGGAGATCTGGGATGGGGAACCCGACCCCTCTGCCCTCACATGTACAGACTGCTACTCATCCAGGCCCGGTATCAAGTCTGCAATGCTGTCCACATAGTAATTGGGCACCAGATCCTTGGCAGCGGCGCTGTCGCTGGCCATGTAGGCCTGCGCCTCTTCCAGGCGGGAGACCCCCGTCAGGGTGAGGATGGTGGAGAGGCCGCAGTTCTTGCCGAAGAGGATATCTGTCTCCAGGCGGTCTCCCACCATGAGGGTGCGGGATGGGTCCACGCCGAAACGCTCCACGATGCAATCAAACATGTAGGTGTTCGGCTTCCCCACCACCAGCGCCTTGCGGCCCGAAGCTGTTTCCACCGCTGCTGTGAGGCTGCCAGTTCCTGGGGGGAGAGGGAAGGAAGGAAAGAGGAGAAAATGAAGTAGCTGTGGGCTAGGGGGGTGCCGACCATGGGCAGCTCATCGCCCTGGGGTCCCACCAGAGGACGAGCAAGCTGGGTGCTGGCAACACATCTTGGGGATGCTTGAGGGGGACCCTGCCCATCCTGATGCTCAGGGAAACACTTCACCCGGGGCAGTGAACCCCAAGGAGGCCAACCCCGCCACCAGCACCCCCCGCCGGCCTCGGGCCCCCCCCGTGTCCCTCCCCCGGGGCAGCAGGGGAAGGGGACGCGGGCTCACCGGGGGTGCGCTGGCCGTCGCTGAGCGGGTGCCAGGGGTCGGGGTCGGTGGCCACCAGGAGGCACTGCGGGTCGCGCAGGTAGCCGCAGGCCTGCGCCAGCTTGGCGAAGGTGAACTGGTCGTCGTAGCCCACCAGGACGGCTCGCACCGGCTCGGCGGGGCCGGTGGTCGGCTCCCCCTCACCGGCCAGGCGCAGGCCGGCGTCGCGCACCTCGCCGCGCAGCCCCTCGCCGCCCAGCACGAAGACGCGGCCGCCCCCGTTCCCCGCGTCCCCCCCGCCGCCCAGGAGGCGCTGGCGGAGGAAAAGCGCGGAGCAGAGCGCGGAGCTGAAGACGTGCTCGGCGCGGACGCCGCGGAAGCCCAGGCGGC